ATACCTAATCCCGCGTGGCTTTTCAGGCAGGGGACTAAGGACGTCTAAACCTACGGTTTAGTTGGGATATCCATTCACCTTGGGCTGCAAGGGGCCTTGTTCATCGTTTGTGGTTGCTTAAAGCGGAGGTACCCATGGCACGCGTTACAGACGTTCACAATATCTCGACGCTGTTGAGGCCACCTAAAAAGCAACCCTGCTGCTGGCTCTGCTTTCCGTTGTCCCGTATACACCAACTCCCTATGTAGCTGTTCGAGCATACGCTGCACCATGGACTGTGGAACCATAAGTCTGCTGGAGTACTTCGGACCAACCTGGTAGCACATGACACCATCCCATAGCCGAATTTTCGACCTCAGATGCCACAAGTAGGGCGCTTCCCAGCTAGAGCCAGCCATTTTTGTTTTTGTAGGCTTCACACTCCCTTGTCGTAAGCGCTCACAAAGCAGCTTGGTCTCTGGGTCTGTACTGTGAGCTGATGCCCAATCTGTTTTATCCGAATCGTTCGGAGACACAACGGCAACGTTCGCGGTTGAACACGACGGACCATCCCCGTGTGCCGTAGACGGTCGGCGAGACTGGGCGTCTGTATTTCTGTGTTGCTTTCCGGGGCGATTTTGACATTGAAAGTCGAAGGTTTGTAGTTGTTCTTGCCAAAGCGCAACTTGCTCTTCGGGTAGGCGAAATTCCAGCAACCTACGGAGCGTCTGATGATCGGTACGAACTATAAAGTGTCGACCCAACAAGAAATGCCGGAAATGTTTAACGAGGGAGACCAGAGCAAGCATTTCCTTCCTAGTGGTGCAATAGTTTCGCTCCATTTTGCTAACTTGCGGCTAACGGCAGCGACAACCTGTTCATACCCTCCCAAGAAATGTGTGATAACCCAGCTCCGATACAAGCCTCACTAGCGTCAGTGTCCAAAATGTATGGAGCGGCTTGTGGTGACACATCCGGGCAGACAAGGACTGGGACGCTGGCCAAAGTATGACGTAACTCATCAAAAGATTCCTGACACTGCCGGCTGCAGTGGAAAGGCAGACCCTTCGCCGTGAGTCGGTGCAAGGGTGCTGCCATATCCGCATAGTCCCTCACGAAGCGTGTGTAGTAAGAACCCAGACCCAGAAAGCGCCGAACCTCTTCCACGGGCTCGAGAATAGGCCAGCTTAGGATATTCTGTACTTTCGAAGGGTCGCTCTGGATCCCGCAATCTCTGCTCACGTGACCTAGATATTTAACCTCTTTCAACAAGCCGCAATTAGACGGCTTCAACTTCAATCCAGCAGAGCTAAGGCACTGCAGCCTTGTTTCTAGGTTAGTGTGATGTTACTCGAGAGTACGTCCATGCACCATGACATCATTAAGGTATACAAGATATTTGCTTAGCTGCAGCTCTCTGTGTACAATGTGCATCAATCACTGGAAGGTCGCTGGTGCATTAGCCGACCCAAACGGCATGGTCTGAAACTCATATAGCACTCTGGGTATAACGAAGACAGTTTTTAAATGTCAATGGGGCGTCCTTTAACTTTCCGATAACCTGAGGCGAGGTCCAAAGTAGAGAACTAGGTGGCGCCATGCAATGATTGCAGAGTGTCATCAATGCGAGGAAGCAGGAAAGAAGCATTTCGTGTAATGTCATTAGGCTTCCTATAGTTTGCACAGATGCGCAGTGTTCCATTCTTCTTTTTGACTAATACAATAAGGGCCGCCCAGGGGATCGCGAACGACGTATGATATGATCTTTTAACACCTGCTCCACCACTTTCTGTAATTCCTGTCTACACACGGGCGGGACACGCCTGGCGCATGCCATATTGTTGGCGCATCCCCGGTTTCGATCCGATGCTTGAGTACTCTCGTTCTACCCAAAGATGTACATTTCCACGCGAACGCGTGCTTGTGTGAACGCAGTACATTTCCCAGGCGCGTCCGAGCATCACCGTCAACAGCGGGGCTCACAGATGAAAGCAATTCCGTTATCTCCCTTTCAACGTCTACGGTGATAGCACCCTAAGTAAAAAGCTTTTTCACGTAGCCATTACTCGGTTTGAAGTTTAGAGGGAGCAAGCTGCCATGTACTGTTAAAACAACGGGGATCAGATGGATGTCGCAAGCATACCGACTTAAGAAATCAACTCCAGTAGCGCGTCCCATGGAATTTGATCAGCTATGTAAAACTCATGAGAAAGAAGCCCTTGACCGAGCAGCAAATCTACGGAAGTTACACCATGGGTAAGCAGAACCATCCCATTAGCCACTCTGATTTGATGCCTGGGACTAGTGACTACTGAAGAGGACAAGAAACAGGATTGTAAAGGGTTAAATACTGCGCTAGTGTCAATGAGGTCACGCAACCGTTGAGTATTGATTACTACATCCACAGCTGGGGATTCACAATGCTTAGAAGACACCAAAGGTACACAAGGAAGTTCTGAATCACCGTCAATGAATCGCACTTCAGGTGATTGTTCGCGCCTTAGGAACTTGCGGGGGCGTCTTACTGACTTCTCATAGGGTGAAAGCTGGCACTTGGGACAATGACGACGGCAGGTATGTGCGCTTAGGCTGTGAGACTGTTCAGTCCGGTTCCTCGTCGGCGGCACACAACTGATAGCCATCAGCTTGTCAAACTCCTTTGGACGCCTATCGCGGATCATTTCTTCTTCGCGTGCAAGCCGCGCCGCGGTCGCTAAGTCTGTCGGCGTCTCTCGTATAAAAAGCTCCAAAGTGCGATCGTCGTTGATGCCTTCAATAAACCGCTCCAAGCTGAAGGCCCTCTTTCTGTTATTGATTTCCTTAGGAAATCCTTGGCCGATAGTACCCGAAGATCCCACAAAAAGGCATCGGGCGACTCTGCTTCTCGACGAAACCTCTTCCAAAATATGAATCGAGTAGCAGACCCGTGCTCTTCGTCCGGAAAATGGGCCTCTAACTGATTCCAGCTTTCTGGCAGAGGCATCCGGGCGAATAGCAGTAGATAACAAAATCTTCTGGAACCAGTCACTGAGGGAATTCGTCATAACCGAGGACCTGTGTTCTTCCGGGACGCAAGCAAGGGACATTCTCATGCGACGAAGCCAGTTGCGTAAGTTTGTGTCAACATCAAAGACAGGTAGGGGACCAAGCGACACTTTCCATAGGCCCAGTTCTAAAGGTGGCTTTCGACAACTTGATGAATACACAGCAGAACCACCCTGTTCTTCATTTTATTTGTGCGGGATTCCATGACGAAATCCCGCCAATGCCCTTAGTTATATAGCATGCAATAAGCCAGGGGAAACAAAAGATCTCCAATGGCTGAAAAACGCAGGGAAGAACTGATTCCGATGGCGGCTAACGTCACAGTGGTCACAGCACACAATTAAAGTCAGGGCAAAACACAACGTGCACACGGCCGCGTGTAAGTGACAAAAGTCCAAAATGCAGGTTATTCAAACAAAATGGGTTACCAGTACACATATCGGAAAAGAAAGTACAAAAATAATTATTGTTATTGTTCTTTAAAGCCGTTGTCCTCTTCTGATAACCAGCCCAAATTTTTTGATTGATTGCCAGGCCGCCGTTCTGATCGGAGAAGTTCAAAACGAGTTAGGAATTGCGTCCTGTGGGTACCACTT